ATTTGCTCTAGTTTGTTGAAGAATGCTGTAGGTATCTTGATAGGGATTGCATTGAATCTGTATATTGCTTTAGGCAGGATGCCATTTTTACAATATTAATTCTTCCTAGCCAAGAGCATGGGATGAATTTCCATTCATTAGTGTCCTCTTTAATTTCTCTTAAGTGTCCCATAGTTTTCAGGGTATAGGTATTTCACTTCCTTGGTTAGGTTTATTCCTAAGTATTTTTTTCTTTTTGATGTGATTGTGAATGGAATTGTTTTCCTGATTTCTCTTTCTATTGGTTCATTGTTAGTGTATAGGAATGCAACAGATTTCTGTGTATATATCCCACATCTTGCTGAATTCAGATATTAGACCTGGAAGTTTTGGAGTGGATTCTTTAGGGTTTTTATGTACAATGTTATGCCATCTGCAAACAGGGACAGTTTGATGTCTTCCTTGCCTATATGGATGCATTTATTTCTTTGTGTCGTGTGATTGCCATGGCTAGGACCTCCAGAACTATGTTGAATAAAAGTGGGGAGAATGGGCATCCTTGTCTTGTTCCTGATCTTAAAGGAATAGTTTTCAGCTTCTTGTTGTTAAATATAATGTTGGCTGTGGGTTTATCATATATAGTCTTTATTATGTTGAGATACTTGCCCTCTATACCCATTTTGTTGAGAGTTTTTATCATGAATGGGTGTTGAATTTTGTCAAATGCTTTTTCAACATCTATGGAGATGAACATGTGGTTTTTATCCTTCGTTTTGTTGATGTAGTGGATGATGCTGATGGATTTTCGAATGTTGTACAATCCATCCTTGCATCCCTGGGATGAATCCCACTTGATCATGATGGATGATCTTTTTGATGTATTTTTGAATTCAGTGTGCTAATATTTTGTTGAGTATTTTTGCATCTATGTTCTTCAGGATATTGGTCTGTAATTTTCTTTTTTTGTGGTGTCTTTGCCTGGTTTTGGTATTAGAGTGATGTCCTTATAGAATGAGTTTGGGAGTATTCCCTCCTTTTCTATTTTTTGGAAAACTTTAAGGAGGATGGGTATTATATCTTCACTAAATGTTTGATAAAATTCAGCAGTGAAACCATCTGGTGCAGGAATTTTGTTCTTAGGTAGTTTTTTGATTACCAGTTCAATTTCTTTGCTGATAATTGGTCTATTCAGATTTTCTGTTTCTTTCTGGGTCAGCCTTGGAAGGTTTTATTTTTCTAGAAAGTTGTCCATTTCATTTAGGTTTTCCAGCTTGTTAGCATATAGCTTTTTATAGTATGCTCTAATAATTCCTTGTATTTCTGGCATGTCCATCATGATTTTTCCTTTCTCATTTCTGATTCTGTTTATTTGTGTAAACTCTCTTTTTTTCTTAATAAGTCTGGCTGGGGGTTTATCTGTTTTATTTATTTTCTTGAAGCAGCTCCTGCTTTCATTAATTCTCTCTATTGTTTTATTCTTCTCAATTTCATTTATTTCTGCTTTAATCTTTATTATGTTCTTCCTTGTATTGACTTTGGGCCTCATTTGTTCTTCCTTTTCTAGTTTCATTAATTGTGAGTTTAGACTGTTCATTTGGGATTGTTCTTCTTTCCTGAGGTAGGCCTATATTGCAATATATTTCCCTCTTAGCACGGCCTTTGCTGCATCCCACAGTTTTTGTGTTGTTGAATCATTGTTGTCATTTGTCTGAAAATATTGCTTGATCTCTGTTTTTATTCGGTCATTGATCCATTGATTATTTAGGAGCATGTTATTAAGCCTCCATGTGTTTGTGGGCTTTTTCATTTTATTTGAGTAATTTATTTCTAGTTTCATACCTTTGTGATCTGAGAAGCTGGTTGGTACAATTTCAATCTTTTTGAATTTATTGAGGTTCTTTTTGTGGCCTAGTATATGATCTATTCTTGAAAATGTTCCATGTGCACTTAAGAAGAATGTGTGTCCTGTTGCTTTTGGATGGAGTGTTCTGTAGTTGTCTGTTAGGTCCATCTGTTCTAATACCTTGTTCAGTGCCTCTGTCTCTTTATTTATTTTCTGTCTGCTTGATCTGTCCTTTGGTGTGAGTGATGTGTTGAAGTCTCCTAAAATGAATGCATTGCATTCTATTTCCCCCTTTAATTCTGTTAGCATTTGTTTCACATATGTAGGTGATCTTGTGTTGGGTGCATAGATATTTATAACAGTTATATCCTCTTGTTGGACTGACCCCTTTATCATTATGTAACATCCTTCTTTCTCTCTTGTTTCTTTGTTTTGAAGTCTATTTTATCTGATACAAGTACTGCAACTTCTGTTTTTTTCTCCCTGTTTGTTGCATGAAATATCTTTTGCCATCCCTTTACTTGCAGTCTCTGTTTGTCTTTGGGTTTCAAGTGAGTCTCTTGTAGGCAGCATATGGACAGATCTTGTTTTTTAATCCATTCACTGACTCTGTGTCTTTTGATTGGTGCATTCAGACCATTTACACTTAGGGTGATTATTGAGAGGTTTGTACTTATTGCCATTGCAGACTTTTGATTCATGGTTACCAAAGGTTCAAGGCTAATTCCCTTACTATCTAACAGTGTAATTTAACTCACTTTGTGTGCTATTACAAACACAACCTAAAGGTTTTCATTTTTTTTCCTCCTTTTTCTTCCTCCTCCATTCTTTGTATCTTATGAATCATATTCTGGACTCTTTTTTCATCCCTTGGGTGATATCTGTTTAGCCTTAGGAATACTTCCACCTATAGGAGTCCCTCCAAAATGCACTGTAGAGGTGGTTTGTGGGAAGTAAATTCTCTCAATTTTTTCTTATCTGAAAATTGTTTAATCCCTCCTTCAAATTTAAATGATAACCTTTCTGGGTATAGTATTCTTGGTTCAAGGGCCTTCTGCTTCATTGCATTAAATATACCTTGCCACTCCCTTCTGTCCTGTAAGGCGTCTGCTGAGTGTGATGATATCCTTATGGGTTTTCCTTTGTATGTGATCTTTCTTCTCTCTCTAGCTGCTTTCAAAAATCTGTCTTTATCCTTGATCTTTGCCATTTTTTATTGTTACATGTCTTGATGTTGTCTTCCTTTGGTCCCTTGTGTTGGGAGATCTGTGCACTTCCATGGCCTGAGAGACTATCTCCTTCCCTAGATTGGGGAAGTTTTCAGCAATTACCTCCTCAATGGCACTTTCTAACCCTTTTTCTGTCTCTTCTTCTTCTGGTACACATATAATATGAATATTGTTCCATTTGGATTCATCACACAATTCTCTCAATATTCTTTCCTTCTTAGAGATTCTTTTTTCTCTTTGTACCTTAGCTTCTTTTTATTCCTCTTCTCTAATTTCTATTCCATTTACTGTCTCTTCTACTACATCTAATCTGCTTTTAAATCCCTCCATTGTATGTTTCATTTCAGATATGGAATTTCTTAGTGATTGAATCTCTGACTTAAATTCATTCTTGTATTCTTGAATATTTTTCTGTACCTCCATAAGCATGTTTATGATTTTTATTTTGAACTCTCAGGCAGATTGGTGAGTTCAGTTTCATTTGGCCCTTTTTCTTGGTTTTGTAAGGTTTTGGTCTGAACCATGTTCTTTTGATGTTTCATATTTCGCTGTGGTGCCCACTACTGCCCAGAAGCTCCAGTCTCCAGAGCTTCTCAGCCCCTAGAGTGAAGTTGGGGGTCATAGGGGAGTGGAGCTGGTGTCTGTGAGGGAGGAAAGATCTGTTTCCTGATTTCTGTCTGCAGTGCCTGTCTCCAGTGTCAGAGCCAGTGGACCAAGCATTCCAGTGTAAGCCTCTGTACTTTGTGTCTCTAGCTGTTGAAGGTGGGGCCTCCCTGTGGCTAGCGCAATGCCAGCACAATGACTGCAGGTTTTTGACCCAGTGTTGGCAGGCTAGGAGGAAGGTACAGCATGCTGTGTATCACAGTGGGGGGCCTTGGAGCTGAGTATTCATCCAGGGAGATGGGGTACCTGAAGCTCCTCAAATTTTCCAACCACCTGGGCAGAGAACCTTGTCCAGCTTTCCCCTTCCCCGTGCAGCAAGCTCCGTGCAAACCCTTCTCCTTCAGCAGCCCTCTCGCTGCTAGGAAGCCTCTCAGACCACCTGCCTTTCCCTTCTCCAGGGTGGCCGGCTGTGGATACCCTCCTGCACAAGTGGCTGGAATCTGTCTCTCAAGCACTCCACCTGTTTGAGCTCCCCAATGTCCAGAGCACCACACAAGGTTGATTTCTGCTACCAAAGCAGGTCTCCAGGGCTGGGTATTCAGCAGTCCTAGGCTTCCACTCCCTCCGCTGCTGCATTTCTCTTCCTCCTGCCAGTGAGCTGGGGTGGGGGAAGGGCTTGGGTCCTGCCTGATAAAGGTTTTCTTACGTTACCCTGTTTCGTGCGGTCTGCTCTGTTCGTGAGGTCTGTGTGCAGTCTGGTTCAGCCTTATTTCTTGTTGTTTTAGGGTTAGTTGTATCAATTAACTACATTTTCATACTGTCTGTGGTTTTGGGAGGAATTCTTCATCTAACCTCTCATGCTGCCATCGTGAATCTCATGGTTTACATTAGCATTTTGTTTGAAAATTCTGCTGTTTGATTTTTATTCTTTTGTAAATAATCTGGATTTTCACTGTGGCTCTTCTAAAGTTGCTTTAGTCTTTCGTATTCCAAGGTTTACTATGTACTATGATGTATCTAAATGCAGATATATTTTTATTCATCCCGCTTTGGATTTTTTTTCTGTGTGCTTCCTGAGTCTAAAATTTTTATACCTTGTCAGTTATGGAATACTCTAAGGCATTTATTATCTCTTTGAATGTAAACTTTTGTACCTTCTCTTTATTATGTCTTTATGTGATTCCCAGTTATTAGACCTTTTATTCTATTTTCTTTATCTGTTATCCTCACTTTCATATTAAACTAATTTTCACTCTTAGTTTTATATTCAGTTTGCTATTTTCTTCTCAGCTTCATCTAATTTTCTTTATCTCGTTTGCTTCACCTCAAGCTCTGAGCCAAGGCCCATAATGACAATTAACCATTACATCCCATCTTCCTTTGCCAGCTGATACATTTTTCTATCCCACCCTTATGCTGATATTGTAGCCTTTCAAAGTTCTAGCTCTATTTGAACAGTTCAGTTCTTGTACTTCACTTGTGTAGGCTCTATAGGGGGCTTCAGCTTCAAGAGTTTCTGTGTTTACTTACTGCTATTTCCTTCTTTCTTGTTTGCTCAGACCCCTGAGGATTTTCCTTCCCTTTTTCCAGTTAAGCTCTATATTTAAAAGGCCATTTGTTATAGTTTACCCAGTATGTCAAGATGTTTCTCTAAATCTCTTAAGGTTTCATATTTGTGGAAATGGTTCATGTCTTTAAGATAAAGGGGGAGGTAGGTATTAAATGGAATTTTGTAATGAATCTCCATATTTTTGGCCACTATTTTATACCATGATCAATTTTACCTATTAATATTAAATAAGAGTTGTCTGTAATAGGCATTCAGCAGTCAGTCCTCAATATTAGTACTTGGTAGAAAATTGAAGTTTAAGGGAAGCTGAAATCATTCTTTAAAAAGAACACTATATATTTAATTACATAAATTCACCTGAAATAATTGGCTGCTTAATTCAGCTTTTAGCTATAGTGACTTTTTCTACAGAGACAGCAATTCTAATTGGGAGATGATTTGGGAAATGAAAAAAAATTATTCCTTTCCTTTCTTAATTTCCATCTATATTCAGACTCAGATTCTCAACAGGTCTAGATTTTTGCCTCCTTCCCCAGGTGACACTTGGCGATATCTGTAGACTTTTTTGGGTAGGGGAGGGTGCTGGTGTCATCTTGTGGGTAAAGTCCAGGGATGCTGATAAGAGTCCTAGAATTCAACGGACAGCCCCTAAAACAAAGCATTATCTGGCCTAAATTGTAAGTGATGTTTTGGCTGAGAAACCCTATTTATAAAGGGAGTTATAACTTAGTCACCTACCTGAAATTGATAAATCTTATTTATAAACTGTATTTTAAATTAAAATTACTCATACACATGGGAGATTCATACACATGTACTTCCTTAACAATTCTGGGTATATCTGTTATTGATGAAAGAATACCTAGGGTACCAAGGTCATCCCTCTCATTATCCATATATAAGGTATTTAATTAGAACCAATAAGCCATTGAAAAGTGAACAAGTAGCTACATTTAGCTTTAGCTTAGATATATAAAACAATCCAGTAATTTTTGTTTTCTGATAGTGATATAATCAACCCAATTTCATCCCTTTAATCTGTATGGTATATATATACCTACCTTCCCCATAAAAAGAACCCTACATCTTTTTTATAGATGTCCTTAAGAAATACAGAATCAAGGTTTTAAAAATAGATTTTACCTTTTCTTAAAGGGTAGAAAACACATAGAATCTTCCTAACTAGTGATGTAGTCATGACACAAACAAGTTAGTTTTGAAGTAGTCCATATCACTTTTCCATATTCATGTGCATGTACTTCATATTTGTTTTTATATGTGTCATGAAAATGAAAGATTTATAGTATTGCTTTCTCATTGTGGTCTTTACTGAGCAGGGTACTTTCCTTCCTATTATTGTTTTTTCTTTTTTAATTTAACATTGTAATCTTAAAAATTTTTTTGACTTAAAAATTGGAAAAACAGTAGAGTTATTTTATGCCTTTTACCAAGTTTCTCCTAATGTGGACATATTATGTAACAATAGTATAATTGTCAATAAAAGGAAATCCAACAATTAGTACAATATCACTAACTAAACTACAAATCTTACTGGTTTTTCTAGCAATGTCTTTTTCGTGTTCTAGGATCCAATGCAGCATCCCATGTTGCATTTAGTTGATATGTCTCCTTAGTCTTCTCTCCTCTGCCAGTTCTTAAGTCTTTCTTTGCTGTTCATGAAATTGATACTTGAAGAATACTCTGGTCAGTTATATTGTAGAATGTCTCTCAGTCCAGGATTACCTGATGTTTTTTATTGAGTGGATTTAGGTTATGTTTTTTGGCAACAACATCATAGAAGTGATACTGTGTCCTTCTTAGTTCATCATCTCAAAAGGTAAATGATGTTAAAATGTCTTATTACTGATGATGTTATGCCGGAGTCCAGCTCCAGCAAGTCCAGGAGTCCCTGAAGGATGGACGGCGTAGGTGACTAACTGAAATGAATGAGGACAGAGACACTAGCAAAAGTTGGGCCTGGCCTTTAATGAAAAGTAGCAGCTTGTTTTTATACTCTTTGATTACATAAAGTAAAGTGCAGGCATTGATCATTTATTTGACACATAGCATGGTTACAGGAGTTTGGAAAATTAGATTAAATCACTTGGCCTTATTCCTAGTTATTGTGGTCAGAAAATCTTGCAAAGGTTAGGTAGGTGCCAGACTCTTGGTTTCTTTACATATGACTATCTAAAGTTCACTATTCTATTATTTTTATGTAGGACCCTCATTTTTTCATTGTTATACTCCCATTCTTCATCTCTGGTAGGGAAGAAAGCAGCTCTCTAAAAGGACACGATGACTTTTTGGCAGGCAGGGACAAATTTTATGTACTGTGCCTCAGACCCATTTTCAGTAAGACTTACAGTGGAGATTTTTCTAATCTGGAGTTAGGTAATGCCCTGTTCTCATTTGTTTTATAGTTTGCCAGGCTGTTCTCTGGCAGGCTAGCCAAAGAATATCATTTGTTCTCTGTACCCACCTGTCACCATTAATCATTGAAAATACCATTTGGAGGCCACATAGGGGTGGGGGAAGGGACCTCAACCCAGGTAAATTTTCCATATCTTTTTTCCCATAAACTTGGGTCCAGTACTCATGGGGTCTCACTTTCCCATCATCGGGGGTAGTCACAAGGGCAGTAGTGGTTTTTTCCAATTTCCTTTAGGGCCAGTACCCAAAATTTTCAGGGAGAAATGGATATGGCCTCTTCTCTGAAGGGGCAGCTTGAATTGAAACCGAAATAAGCAAATTTATTAGGAGGGACATTTTGAGCAGGAGGGATATTGGGGTTTTTCCTTTAGGAAGGACGCTGAGCAGTCCCTTCCATCCAACTGCCAGGACTGTGTCATCAGGCTGGTGGTTCAGACTGGCTCCCGACAATGTTATCCTTGGTAAGGTAGTGTCTGCCAGGTTTCTCATGTAAACCTGCTATTTTTCCCTTAATAATTAATAAGTATATTTCTTGCTTTTAGCATATTTTTAGTAGAGGACAAATATGGAAGAGATAAAAATTGTTTCCTCACTTTGTGAATAGTTGGTTTATATAGGATAATCTTATAAGTTTTATAATTTAACACCTTGTCTATAGGTAGTTAAGTTGAGAAATTGCTTTTCTGAGTAGTGTTAACATGTATTTTCAGAACAACTATTTAACTTAAAGTTTGCTCCACAAGAACTTAAAAGAAATGCCAAGAAGTGCAATAAAAAAGAAAAAGCTGAAACGATAAAGACTAAAAAGGTAAGCCATTTTTATATTTTTCTTTCTTTTAACTCCTGAAATTAGTACAGTCAATCATGGCTGAGTGATTGTTTCAGTTTATTTTACATTGTAGAAAGATTACTTTAGCATTATAAACCAAATATCTATTTAAATAAATTATTTGACATAGTTAATAATGGCTCTTTTCTTTGCATTACTTTTTCTGCATTATTTTTTTGTATGTCCAAGTGTGGCTTACATGACAAAGTGTAAATGTTCTGTTGCTTAACTGTTCTGTTACCTATATCTAAAGTGGTTTGTAGCCAAAACCACTCTTACTCAGAAGTATAAAACCTAAGTGTAGGAATAATACTTGACGTTTTTGGCTCGTTTTAATTTATGTAGACTCTTAAAAGTTTTCTATCTAAATAGTACATAACATTAATGTGTATTATGGTTTGTGTATCATGTATCTTCTAGGAGGTGTCACAGGACTCAGCATATAGCTGTACTCATGTCTGTGATATATTATGATAAAAGGGTACAAAGCAAATCAAAAAAGGGAAAATCACATGGGGCAAAGTCTAGAGGAAGCCAGGCTCAAGTTTCCAAGAGTTCTTTCCCCATGGAGTCATACAGAACAAACTTAATTCTTCCAGGAACCAACGGTGACAACTTGTGTAAAATGTTGTCTACCAGAGAAGTTCTCCAAGGCTTTCAGTGGTGCTCATTTAGGCATCCTTTGCCTAGAACACACCAAAATTCCAGACTTCCAGAAGGAAATATGGAGGTTGGCATAAAGCACATTATATACTAAAACACTTTAGGCACAATAAGCCACTAATAACAGTTCTGGGAATAATGGGAACCCACCACAATTCCAAGACTCTAGATGCCAAGTAATGCCAAACTTGCAAGTAGATCTTTCTAAGGATACTAGTCGCAGACTTGCTATGTTAGCTCTTTCTTGCACATGTGTATTTATATATGGTTTCAATACTTTATTACCTTAGGTGTTCAGATCTTTGTTAACAGTCTATATCTAATTCTTAAATGGAGTCACTTTGGGTATTTTGCATATACTTTTAATAGAGAGAACTTCAAGGGAAGAAAACTTTCAGAGCAGAAATGGAAGTAGGCCAAGTTAGAAGAAAAAGTAAACTTAAAACTCAGGTATTAGGATTATCCTTCTCTAAAAACCTGAGTTCAATTTGCAAGGATAGAAAGCATAGAAAAGTTTTTGGTCTAACATTTTTGTATATTGAGATTAAATAAAGTGATTTTTGAGGCTTCAAATCTCACACAAGCATAGCAATAGTAAAACATGCAAATTCCCAACAAATAAAAGTCCAGGACCAGATGGCTTCACTGGTGAACTATACCAAACATACGAAGACTTAATACCAATCTGTCTCAAATGCTAATAAAAGATGAGTACTTCTAAACTCCTTTTATGAGGCCAGCATTACCCTGATAACAAAACCAGACAAGGAAACTACAAGAAAAGAAAATTACAGGCTAGTATCCCTGATGAGCATAGATGCAAAATCGTCAACAAAATACTAGCAAACCAAATTCAGTGACACATTCAAAGGACTATACATCATGTTCAAATGGGATTTATTCCAGAGGTGCAAGGATTGCTTAATACCCACATATCATTAAGAAAATGAAGGATAAAAAGCATATGATCTCCATATAAGCAGGAAAAGCATGTGGTAAAATTCAACATCCATTAATGATTACAACTCTTAGTAAAGTGGCTGTAGAGGGAATATACCTCAACATAATAAGGACCATATATAAGTACCCACAGCTAACATCACACTCAATGGTAAAATGCTGAAAATCAGGAATAAGACAAGTGTGCCTACTCACACAGGTTTTACTCTACATAGTACTGGAAGTCCTCGCCACTGCAGTCAGACAAAGAAAATAAAAGGTATCCAAATCACATTTGACAGTAAAACTGTCTCTATCGATGACATATTATATTTAGAAGATCCTAAAGATACCACTCAAAACCTGTTAGAACTAATAAATTCAATAAATTTGCAGGATGAAAAAACTCAAAATACAAAAATCTGTTGTATTTCTAATAAGAGGTTAATATCCAAAATATGTAAAGAACTCATATAACTCAATAGCCAAAAGCAATCTGATTAAAAAATGAACAGAGCATCTGATGAAAAAGACATACAGATGGCCAACATACACATGAAAAGGTTTTCAACATTACTTATTAGGGAAATACAAATCAAGACTACTACAGCTATTACCTCATACCTGTTAAAATGACTGTCATCAAAATGACAAGCAACAAATGTTGGAAAGGATGTGGAAAAATGGGAGCCTTTGTGCACCATTGCTGGGAATGTAAATTGGTACAGCCAGTATGGAAACATAATGGAGGTTCCCCCAAAATTAAAAATAGAGCTACTGTATGATCCAGCAATTCCCCCTTGGGGTATTTATCTGAAGGAAATGAAAACACAAACTCAGAATGATATTGGCATTCTCATGTTCATTGCAGCATTATTTACAGATACTAAAACATTGAAACCTAAGTGTCCATTGATTGATGAATGGGTGAAGAAAATGTAAAATATATATATACAATGGAACCTTATTCAGCTGTAAAAAGAATGAAGTCCTACCATTTGCAACAACATGAATGGACCTTGAGGCCCTTATTCTAAGTGACATTAAGTCAGACAGGAAGGCAAATACCACACAATCTCACTTGCATTTATATGAAATCTTAAAAAACAAAAACTCATAAAGAGAACAGACTGATGGTTGCTAGAGGTGACAGGTGTGTGGGAGGGACAAGGGTAGAGGAATGAAATGGGTGAAGGTAGTCAAAAGGTACCAAATTCCAGTTATAAGTCTGGGGATATAATGTACAGCATGATGACTATAGTTACTAATACTGTATTGTATATTTGGAAGCTGCTGAGAGTAGATCTGAAAAAGTTCTTATCCCAAGAAAAAAAACTTGTAACTATGTTTGTGGATGTTAACTACAGAAAAAAACTTGGAAAATGAGGTTGCACATATGAGTATATTTTACACATTGGTGTTTACGTTACTGAAGAATTGGAAACTAACCAAATACCCAACCATCAGGGATCTCAATTGATCTGTGCTCTCAAATTTTAGTCACTTGTATAATTTCTCAGTTTTGTTGTATTGGAGGATCATCTGAACTACTTGATATTTTTCTTAAAATGACTTTTAAATTTAGCCCTGGCCTAAGCTATTACAGCAGAAAAAGCATGGGTCTATACTAGTTACATGCATTTTAAATATACTTTTAAATAAATACATAGTTAAAATGAAGACACTTATATCTTCGTAACATCTAAAATCATTTTATGTGCTATCAGTAGTGTTTGAACTACACAGGGGAAAAACCTTGATGAATGGTCCATCATAAAGCAAAGGCTTTAGAAATGATGTATTTATATATTTATTGACAAAAAAGATTTTTTTTAAATATTAGGTGAGTAAACAGTATGCTGTATGCATGCACTTCTATATAAATTTATATTGTAAATTGGTTTATTTACTTGGAATATTATATACTAAAATATTTACAGTGGCAATAGCTCAATGATAAAATTATGGAAAGTTTTTTAAATTTTATGTTCTTAAAATATTAGCATATATTTTCTAATCATAATTAAACATTATAGAACTATAAATTCTTTTATTTCCTAAAAATATAATTGTAAAAGTTCTTAAATATTATTAAAAATCATTTAATTTGGGGTTGTTTGCCTCTTTTTAAATGATGTGTTTTCTTCCCTTTTTTTTGCCAGTATTTACTTCTGCTCATTGTCTTCACCACTGTTTACTTTTACTCTGTTTAATACAGGCTATTTAGAATGGCAATAGAGAGGTTGCAAGAATACATGCTGATAATGCAATCCCCTAGAAGAACCACATAATTAATGTTTTGAGAGTGAGCGCTAGGATGGATGCCGTGGCAGCGAGAGTTCAAACTGTAGTAACAATGGCAAAGTAAGGTTTAATATCTGTAAATAATAGAAACTCTTGATTTACGTTTAAGGAGAATATTAAGAGTTGTCAGAAATCCAAATCTATTGCAAAAAAGTGCTGTAGGATGCTGGTGAAGGCCTACATGGGTAGGACAGACACAAAGTACTTATTAAGGAATATGATTTGGACTGTGGCTTTTAAACTGAGGTATAATTAGCTGTCTTTCAATGGAGAGTCAAAGGTAAAATAGTCAATTTCTAGACCACAAATACATACTGTATAGTTTTACTGTTAAGGAAAGGTTGGACAAATTTCATAAGCCGATCTGTACACTTAAACAATTGCATAAATTTTGTGATTACTTATAAAGATACTCTATCTTTTTTTTTACTCCCAGTAAGGTAACCAAGTCCATGGCAGGTGTAATTAAGTCTATGGATGCTACACTGAGGAGTATAAACCTTGAAAAGGTAAAAGAAAAAAAAATAATTTGATATTCAGAAAGCACCTTTTCAGTGTAAGTTTTTGTCATGACCATATTTTTTGTTACAGATTCTGCCCTGGTGGACAAAGTTGAAACACTGTATGTTCAAACACAACAAATGGAAGACACAATGAGTACCACTACAACCCTAACACCATCACAAGTGAGAATAATTCTCTAATTAGAACAACTTTTAAAAATTATCCAACTTGAAAATACAATGGCTTTTTGAGCCTAAATCATCTATCTATAAAATGTGAAGTAAACATGGCATGTCCTCAAAATGCAAGTAGGAAATTATGTTCTGCCCTGGATTCTTGATATTTTGGAAGACGACATTCTCTATATTGTTTTGATAGAGAATTATACTAGGTCCCATGTCTGGGGAGTCTGGAACTTGGTTCTTCCTTGCTGTCAGTAGTCCTTATTGATGAAGGCATTGCACTAGAGGCTCACTAAGGCCAATGGGTATTAGGTATTATCCTAAACTTCAGCTAATTCATTTCATTGCAGATATTCTTTGCTTCCTACCTACTGAGGTGTGTTATTTATGTACAAATCACAGATGAACAAATAGTAAATTACAAGACCAACTGGTTTTCATAAAACTAGGATGTTTTCTAAACCTGCAACTTCGAGATGTGCTACAGAGAAATTAAAATTTGAAATGGTTTGTATATGACACAAGCCAGAAACAAAATTTTGTGAAATTTATTCAGATAGAAATTTTCTTCATTATCATCTTTCAGTCTAACACATATCACAATGCTATCAAATGAACAAATAACTTGTTATCAATACTTTGGATGCTAATATGGAAAAAATAAAATTTACAAAGTAAATTAGAAATAAATTAGCAGCTGTCCATCAGAATTTTACTGGAGATAACTGTTTTCACAAAGAGGTAAATAATGAGAGTACAAGCTCATATTCAGATTTTCTAGTTAAGAAAGAATCATGTGTATGTCTAATAGTGAGCATATATTTAACCATTACTTTTATACCTCCTCCAGAGCCTTGCTCTGCAGAGTGGTGCAAGAATCAGGAACATCTGTATCATCTGGGAGCTCATTAGGAATGCAGAATTCAGACCACATCCATAGACATTGAGTCAAAATCATTTTAACAAGTTTCCTAAGTAATTTTTATGTACCAAGTCTGAGAAGCACTGTCCTAGAGTTTCTGATTCTTACTCAAGCTCATTACTTGATCTCTAGGTGATTTTTTTTATTGGTCAAGTTTAGGAAACAAGTGATTTGGAAAAAAAATGACTTGAAGTTATGACACTTGGATCTCCAATCCTCACTCTGCCACTAATTAACTTTGGGACCTTAAGATACAACCTTGGGCCTCAGTTTCCTTAACTATGCATTGTAGGGATTGAATTTGGTATCTAAATGCCTTTGCCTCTCAAATATCTTGAGATTCATTCAACCAACATTTGCTGAACACTTTGTATCAGGTATTGTGCTAGGAGTTGGGAACATTCAAATATGTACAAAACATTCTTCATAAAAACTCAACCAAAACTTAAAACAGAAATGGAGAGGGATCTAGTTGAACGCACTTAGTTGACCACATTCTCATGTCCTGCACTTAGTTGACCACATTCTCATGTCCTGCTAATGAGTAATTAGAATTTAAATTGGTATATCCACTTTAGAAAAGCAATTTGTCTAGTCTTTTCTTAATATAGCAGCCAGAGTGATTCTTTTTAAATGAGTTATATCATGTCATTTTTTTCTGCTCACATCCCTCCAATGGCTCCACATGTCCCTCAAAATAAAAACCAAATTCTTTACAGTGGCCTATAGGATCTGCTTCATCGTGTTTATTGTACCTCATCTCCTATTCCTGTTAATCATTCTACTGAGGTACTCAGCCTAGGCCTCTTTGTTATTTCTTAAACACACCAAGTACATATTTGTCTCAAAACCATTCCACTTGGACTGTTGTCTGTCTAAATGTGCTTTCTCCATCTTGCATTCGTCCTCATTGCCCACTGCCCCTTTCCTTCAGTTCTTTGTTCAGTATCATTTTCTCAGTGAGTTCTTCCCTGAACATCCTACTTAAAAGTACATCAAGCACACACCCACCATACCCTGTATTCCCTGTCTACCATCCCTGCTTCATTTTTGTCTATAGTACATATCATCTAATATAATACTGATGCATCGCTATGACTTAAAATGATATCTGGCATAAAGTAGGTGCTCAATATTTGTTGAATAAATCAGAGTATGTAAAATGCATGTAGCCTATAACCTAGTACTTGTACTTCCAAATTTATACACAAAGAAATGCCTATGTAATGGTACAAAGATACCTAGGCATGAGAATGTTCATTGCACCATTGTCTATAATTGGGAGAAATTAGGGGGAAAAATCTAAATGTCCAGAAATAAAATTGGTAAGTAAAACTGAGTATTTTACTGTATTACAGTATTATGCAAGAGGGGGTGAATAAACTAGATCTCTAGATCTCAATATAATTAGATCTAACAAGGTTGAATGAGAAAAGCAATTTGCAGAATAGTGTATATAGTATCATACCACTTAAGTTTTAAAAGCACACAATGCTATTTTAGATATGAAGACAGTAAAATGTAAATGCTCAAAAGTATTTGATCTGTTATTTCCTGCATTTTCTGTATTTTGGAAATACGTTTAAAGTGAATAAAAAAGAACAAGAGAAACTAAGACCCAATAGCAAGGTTAATGATTTGCTTAAAAGCATAAACCTTGTTAATGGTAGAGCTGGGACTACATCTTAGAACTCTCATCTCTATGTTCAGAATATTTTCAGCAAATAAGTTAAAAACAAGAGTATTTTGATCAATCAGACTCTATTCCTGAGAACTGTACTGTAGTAAAATGTCAATACTTTTATTTACTTCTAGATATTTTTAAAGAGTAATCCTTAATATCAGATTTACATCAAATCAATTAGAACAATTATGATAAATCAAGTTTTAATCTATCACTTGAAATATAAGTAGAGGGGTTTAGAACAGCTTTATGAATAGGTTCACTTCATTAAAGAGCTATATTATTCAGATTCAAATTACATGTGAATATCACTGATAACATTTTTCATATAACCTCATTGTTTAAAGCTTTATAATTTAACATTATTCAGAAATAAATCATTTTCTGAAATAATTTGAGCTCCCTCTGGTGGTAAAAAGATATATATATATTTGAAAAGCTTTCTTTTGAAAATTGTAAACTAGTTCCTTTTTAAAGCAAAATTAGAAACAAAAACCACCCAAAAAGCAAATGCCATTAAAATAGAAATTCTCATTTTCTTATTCTAGAGCCAGGTGGATATGCTGCTTCAAGAAATGGCAGATAAGCAGGGTAAGAAATTATTCAGGCATTTTTTGGATAATCTTGTTTTAATATGTAGAGGTCCTTAAAATTATGTAATGTGGATAAAAATATTTGCCTTTACCACCAATGGTCAGAGTTAGGTTTTTGACTCTAGAATTTAGTGTTGAGAGGACCTTTGGAACAGTCATCCCACTTTTTTGAATGCTTATAAAAATGTGACTTTGTTTATATCAGCCTTGTATTTTCTTAAAAATCTTTGGAGATGTCTTCATTTAGTGTGTGATAAGAAATGAGGAAGTTCATTGAGGGAAGAAGATCAGTACCTTCTGAGTTCAGTATATATCAAATGTTTGGATTTTTTTTTTAAGGATCTTGCAGAAGAACACTGCTATCATCAGGTCATTAAGTCTAAAGCCCACTACAAGTCCTACAAACTGAGCAGTATGTGCAAAATGTCTTAAGGGGTTGAAAAGATGACATTATTGAAGATGGTCATTTGTTTTATAAAGGTAAAGATTGACACTTTTGTGATACTGCTGTTAGAAATAGGGTCTGTTAACAAGGCTGTTTATTTCAGGCCCTTCATGTTTGAGGGGAATGATTTGACCATGGTAATTAATACCTTTACTACAGAAGTCATGTTATATCAGTATTCTCTGTTATATTATTTAGTTCAAGAGAACATTATAGTAAAGGGTAAAAATACATTTTTTCAAAGATAAAGATTTAAACTGGTGATACTATATTTTTATACTTAATCTTCAAAGGCAGAGTAACAGATTAGAGTTAATGCATTATTTTCTCCTGGGAAGACAACATTAGAAAACACTTGGAAAACAGAGTTGATATTATTCCGGTATTTAAGCTAATACCTGATTAGAATGAACACTTAAGTTTATCAGCTATTTAGATCACTGATATCAGTGCATTAAGACCTTATTAATAGATGAAGGATAAAAAGGCATAAAATCTCAATTATAATATAAATTAGTCATGGGAATGAAAGTACAACCTAAAGAATATAGTCAATAATTCTGTAACACTCTGTGTTGACAAACAGTAATTACACTAGTTGGGGTGAGCATTTAATAATGTAGATTAAACTGTACAATCACTGTTGTATGCTTGAAATCAATATTATATAGCAACTATACTTCAGTTAAAAAAACTGGTTAATAAATCAGGGTTGCAATATTTGAGAACAGGAGGTTAGATTGTATACTGTTTTACTTTGTTAGTATCCTGACATAGCCCATATACCAACAGGGAGGTAGCAAGAAAGATGATTTTTGTTAAGTATTATAAAAGATACCAAGGTATTGTGTATCAGAAGACTCCATCTTCATAGTAGGCTAAGGATTTGTTGTTTCTGTTCCTACCACAGACTAAATAAAAAGATTGAGCTTGGAAATATAGCAAGGGAGGTTTTATAAAATGAATATTGCCACATTATAGCCTTGCTGACCCACAGTGGAACTCTGCTCAATAGGTAACGTTTGATTAGATTTAGAGCAGTATTTCTCAACCTCTACTATTAATATTTTGGGCCAAATAATCGTGAGAGCTGTCCTATGCATTTGTGGGATATTTAGCAGCATCTCTGGCCTCTACCCATAAGATACCAGTAGCATCCTTCCCCCAGTTATGATGGTCAAAAATGCTTCTAGACAATGGTCAAATGTTCCCTGGGGGTGTGGGGCCAAAATCAAGAGAGATTAGTATGTCAGTAATGGGTCATGACTGGAGGAGTAGAAATAGGTAGAACCATTGATGTCGAAATAATGAGGCCCATCATTAAAGATGTTTAAGTACCCAAATTCTCTATGTGATTCCAACAAATTTTTAGTATACATACCTTTACTTTTGAAATAACAATCTGTCTATAGACTCTCCTAGTGACTCTTAAAAGTTACTATATACCCTGTAGTGTTTCCAACCCTGAGTTAGCATATACTGGCTTAGAGATGGGCAGTAAGGTGAGTTCATACCCTAGAGGATTAGTTATAATGGAGTTAATATTGTGGGCCTTGGATGCAAACGAACCTGGATTCAGATCCTAACTATCACTAGGGTGTTCTTGGGCAAGTGTATGTAGCTTTTCTAATTCTCAGTTGTATAGGTGGATGCAAGTAATAATTCCTACTTATGAGTAACTCAGGAGCTACATATTGAAACTGAAGTTAGCTCAAATGTTAGATATATATCCTGAGGCTGCATTTGTCTAGCCTGATTTATCTTTTTGGGGGCTGTATTATTTTTCCTTCACAGTAGGAGACATGTAGTAATTTCCAGTAAACAATACATTGGATAACCATTGTTTTTAGTTTTTTGTTTAGACCAGATCATTTTCCTGTCTTATATTAGCTTTACTATCATAAGATTATCCACCTGGATCATCATTAGGGATCAACAAAAACACTTCAAAATTAGTAAATTAATTTATCCTAAGGGTCATTCAGAAGTTGTTTAAGCTCTATTTGCATTTATAAAACTGAACCAGTTTTGTTTTTATTTAAGGTAAAATGGTAACTGGATTCAAATTTGGAATAAGCTATTTTTATTTATTATTATAATTAGATAAGGAGGAAAAGGTCTATATTAACATTCATTTATGCTAATTTTAAATTATAGCCTTGATCTTGATATGGAATGATTACAGGGTCAGACAGGTTCTCTTGCCACAAATGTTGCTTCCACAGAACAGGTAGAAATCCGATTTTATCTTGATTGATATGAACTTGATATATGAATTAACTATATGTCATATATGTTTATTGTAAGGCTGGAGGCACCAGGGGAAGAGGTGAGCCTGCTGGACAAGCTCAGGCCTCACCAAACAAGGCGAAGAGACCAACAGGTTCCGGTCTGACAATGTTCCAGAAACTGATCAGATAACATTCCTAACTAGAGCCCTCCCCAGGCTAGAAGAATAGTGGTAACTGTCCAGTACCTGGCTAAAAGCCAATGAGAGACCCCCACGTACCCTAGGCAAGCCAATCCTCATGCCACTGTATACCTTTGCTCTCCCTCCCACTTACTTCTTTAAAAACTTGCTGCCTGCCCTGCTGGGTGTGGCTTCCCCAGCCTCCATTTCTGTAGACTGGGAAACCTCACCCAGGAATTGCGCTCAAATAAACTACCTGGCCCTTTGTTGATTCTCTTTGCCTGCTTATTTCAGCTAGAATTTATCTTACATTTATATTTTAATATAAATACACATATATATATATACATTTTTCTTTTATAAAGAGTATTTTTCTGCTGAAATATCATAAATTAGAAAAATGTGATTGGCCTTTAACTGCTTAATGATGAGTTTCTATTTTCATGCACATTTAATTTAGAGATTGAATTTACTCCCCTTTATAGCTTCTATTTTATTAAGTTGCCAATTATACTGAAATGTTTAAAAAAGCAAACTCTTAATGTTGGTTTTTGTGTGGACTTCTGAGACAAGATTTTAAACCTTATTTAAAATATGAGTTATTTAGCATATTAGTGACTTATATTTGTTATGATCTTGTGATTTTTAAATTTTACTTCCTTCAGGATGAACTATCACAGAAACTTGTCTATGTGGTCAAGTTTAATTTAAAGAATTGTTTTTTGTTTACTTCACTTGTTTCTGAAATATTTTGTGTGTATATATAGATAAGTTGCACTCCAGGTACACTAAAAACACCATATATTATGGAACACTTAAACACTATTTATATATAATGCTTTCTTTTGCCATGCTATATTTTCCAATACTTTAATTCCAGAGAGATTCTATCTTGACAGATTTTATAGTTTTGTATGTTATGTTGAAGAGTATATGAATTTTTTTATAGCTGTCTTTGAACAAGCTAGCATATTGCTTATTGTGTATGAAATATCTTTCTCAAAAACTCCATCAACAATCTAGCACTGAAGTACTGTAGAATTATGTACTTTATACAGAATAGAATATAGAATAAAGGTTCTGGTGTTTTTTTAATTCAAAGCAGTTTTAAATATCTGCCTGCATTCACATGTGATGTGTAAAAATAAAATGGAATACATGTTTACTTAGTACATATACATAACCAGAAACACCTCATTTAGTGTCATAAAATTGACTGTGCACTTGTATTTTGTGTTTTATGTTTGCACTTGTTTTTGATATTCAGGCAGAAATTTGAGTTTTTAATATGTGTTTATCAGCTTTTAGATTTACAATATTAGTGCAATTTTTGCCCATTAATCTAATGACTATGATTTACATACCTTAAATTTTTTAAAATTTCATTGATAATTTTCCTGTGTACTAGAAAAAATCTGCAACATTCTATCAGAGAAATTAAGATTTGTTCATTTAAAAAATTTTCTCTGCTAAATACTGTTAGGCAGAAGAATAGATATGAGCGGGGTGGAGAGAGAGTAAGGCCAATAAATTCCACCAAAAGGAACTCACAAGAGTTATCCATTTAGAACTAGAGAGCCAGAAAAGACTCAGAGTTAATGAGTTAACAGTTAAAGGTCCAAAGGCCAGGAGTAACTTGGAATATTCAGATACTCCCCAGATAAAAGTATCCACAAACATAGCCCATATCTTCATCGTGTCAATTAGATCATGCCACTGTAAGATTTACTTTAGCCTGCTAAAAGGCCCATCTTATTCCTTAACTTAACCTATATGCTGTTTTTTTCCTCCTCCTCCAGCCTCTAATCCAAGTAATTTGCAATTTGGGCAGGAGACAAGTATCATGATTAATTTTCCAAACAAGCCCAGATATAAACGGCATAGTGAAAACAAGAAAGATTCTATCTTAAAGCTAAGATTGCATTTTAAAACCGAGGAAATTAGGGAGTAAGACTCTTAATATATTCTTTAGCAAACAGTTAATAACTCAGACCACCTTGGGGGCAGGGCAGGTGGTTTTGATTGATATGTTCCCAGAGGGAAGCTGCTATTCTGGGAAGGAACTGAATCAGTAAATTTCTTGTGTTAATTTTGCAGAATTACCTGGAGGACTGATAGTAGAAAAGAAGAGACATAATGGCTCTCATCAGAGATAAACATCTTGAGACCACTTTACAAGTCCATACCCCTAGCCCTTTGTCACATTTCTGAAAAGTCCTTAAAGGGGGAACCCCCAGCCTTTCAGGATGCATCTCCTCTCTGAGGTCACCTGCATTTTTCTCCACATCTCAGGGTACACATCCTCTCTGATTATGCCTGCAATTTCTAAGTGCATAACCTTAAATAAAACTTCTCAATCTTTCAGGGCATGCCTCCTCTCTGAGGATGCTTGCACTTTTCAACCTTTCAGCATGCCTCCTCTCTGAGATCACCCACACTTTCTCTCTAAGTGTGTAACTTTAAATAAAACTTTTACTCTGCTTCATTACTATTGAAAGGAAAGGAGCGACACACAGCAGCAATTCACCGGAGAATTCCGCTTTATTAGGGAAAGGTGCTGGGTTATATAGGAAGGGGCATAGGGTGATTGTGGTGTTACTTCTACGGGGCTGCTGGCTGTTGGCTAGGTGCTGGGATTGGGAGGGGGGCGAGAGGTGATTGGGCTTCAGGTGGCACCGGCGGGAACCAAGGACCCCAGAGAGAAGCCGGAAGTTTGCCATCTTACTGGTGGGGGCCCTTCATTCCCCCCTTTCTCTATGGGGTTGTGGATGTTTCTTTCTCTCTGACTGCTTCTTGCTGAACAGGGGCGGAGAAGGGAGTGAGGGCTTGAGGATTGGGAGGAAAGGGTTGATAGGACTCCCCACAGTAAGGATGAGTAGATGTGGACTTCTTCAGGTTGGAAATCAATGAAGGTTCCCTGTAACCATAGGTCGAGGACTTGTTGATTCCAATGGTGCCAAGACGATACGGGTACCAGAAGCCAGGCGTCTGCGGCCATTGTTTCCAGGAACAGTTTCCAGTGGAGAGAGGGTTCCATCTCAGCATGTGGTGAGGAGGTTACATGAGGGTGAGGGATCTTCTGTGGTCAGAATCTGATAGTTTCTGAGTAAAAGCTGGTTGAAAGTTTGATTAGAGATTTTTCCAACTTGGGATTTGATGAACTTTATTATACAGGGTAAGAACAGACAGGCAAGAAGAATGATTATTATGGGGCCTGCAATGGGCCAGAGCCAGGTGAGGAGGGGGTTTGTTAATATTGAAGAGAATGGGTTGGAATTGGAAGCAGAGTGGAGACTGGAGGCAAGGTCGGTGAGTTTGGTGATGTCAGTTTCTACAATGCCAGATTCGTTGATGTAATAACAGCACTCTTCCCGGAGGAAGACGCAGGTGCTGCCCTTCTCGGCTGTGAGCAGATCTAGGGCCCGCCGGTTTTGAAGGGTGACTTTAGCTAGCAAAGTGACCTGTCTTTGGAGAGAGGCTAGGGAATCGGCAGTGGATGTCAGGGTCCCTCAAGTTTGGTGTCGAGATCTCTAACTGCCCATAGAGAGTGACCCAAGGCTCCTCCCGAAAACCCCGCCCCTATGTCTGAGGTGATCAAAGAGATACCGACCATGATGGGAAGGAAAGCAGCCCTTTTTTGTGTGCGAGGGCAAGGGAGGTTGGAGCTCAACAAATTATGCCATGCTGTAAAGTGTAAGCTGTGGGATTAGGGTGATGAGAATGCAGGGTGTATCAGAGTTGAGAGGCAGTGAGTTGAAAAGACTGCCATTACACCAAAAGAAGTGTCCTGGTTGCATAAAAGTCTTAGAGCCAGAGGTAGGGGTGTAGATAGAGAGGCAGTGAAGTGCGCTGGAAGGGGGTGCAGTTGGGCCTACACAGTGCTGGATGGTGAGATTATCTGCATATTCTGGTTCCCATAGGGGTATGTCTGCCAGGGGTCGCAGGGGTTGTCCTTCTGCATGGAAGGAGTAGTTGGAAATATTAAGGGGCACGGCGGCCAGCAGTGGGCGCTGTAGTGATGCGCACAAGAAACAATTGGCGGTGTTGAGGGTGTGGTTGAGAAAGATGGTGGTGTCTTGAATGAGCTGTAACCAAGAGTAGGAGGAATAAGAAGATGAAGAGGCGCC